GCGGAGGGGGGGGGGGGACAGCGGATGGTGGTGACAGAACTAGGAGTGGCAGCAGAAGGGGAATCCCAGGCACGGAGGTGCCTTGAGACCCCACTCCGGATCCACTGCCAGCGACAGCTGTTCCTGATCCTGTCCAGGCACCAGCACCGCGGTTGCACCTGCCTGCTCAGGTTTGGCTGTGGCGGGGGGGGGAGTAGAGATCCGGCAACTTACGGCTCCTGTGCCGGCAGAAAGGGCTCTGCGTGCCAGCTGTGGCACGCATACCATAGGTTCACCATTGCTGGTTTAGAGAATGTCAGGACTATAATGTGGAAAAGAACTATCCACCTCTTAAAACAGATAGAACCCCAGGAAAATCTAGTCCCTGGTCACGCCGAGGACAAGGTTACTTAGAAGTCAGTAAACTACAGGCTGGAGTTGGCAGAAACACAGTAAAGAGAGGTCTTTCCCACGATATAGTTCTTTTTCAAGTGTGGAGAATTATAGACATATTTACACCTTTGTCAGTATATTCTACCTCTCAACACAAACCATTTGATGTCAGCTGCACACTGCTGTTGAAGTTGTCCACTATTGAACAAAAGTTATCTGATATATTTATTAATTGTACTGTGGTGGTTCTGAAACAAATAAAGGAAGAATAAAGACTATACAGTATTCGAAATTCTGTTTCTGCAAATGGCAGAAACAAGGTGAATGTTAACATTTATGTGCCTTTGACATTCAAGATCTTGTCCATCCATGGACAGAAATACAAGTGATGTGGATATTTATGGAAGGCATTGATTAGGCTTTGAGATTTACTGGTAAATGTTGGGATTTTCTGAATATTTTGTCCAGAGACTTTCCAAACCTTAAGAATAACTGGTAAACCTCAGGCCTTACTGGATTTCTGTCACTGTCCACATACAGATGTTAAATAGAGCAGAAGGTTGTTTACTTTGAGCAAATAACGGTATTAAAAGATGATGGTATTGTCAGAATGTTAAAGGTAACTATGGTTTCATACTTTACCCCATAATGACACTGTCATTTTGTAGAAAATAAACATTTACAAAAGCAAATAATGAATGAGATCGAAGGCATGAGAATGACTCCAGAATCACAACTTCACACCTCACATACTAATGGCACTGAAAAGGCTTCCAAGAAATTACTGTGAATACTCACTGCTTGCATTTTCTAGGCGAATGAGGCAGTTTAAGAAGTCATCAAATTCAATTTGATACTGATCATCTGCATATCGAAGAACAATCAGCTGAAGCAAATAATTGTTGAGCTGAAACCCTTAAAGAAAGAGAAACCACAGATTCTTCAATAGTTTCCAGCAAGTGCCTGTTTTCTAGTCAATATTTTGAAAGCATATCAGATTTTCAATGAAGTGGAGGCAACCATCTTGGTTATCTGTGAAAACAGCCACCTGATGCAGAAGAGAGCAACAACTGCTTCAAGCCCAGCAGTTTGGAGAAGGACTCAGAGGGTCAAATTTGGTGATGTGATGGGAGAGGAAGCACAGTCCTAATAGACTGGACTCAACTTCTGAAGGAGGTGGTTTAAATCTGCCGCCTGATGCTCTGTCTTTGACATAAATTGTACATTCTGCCTCCCACAAGGTATTATTAACCTATATACTATTATTGGCCCACAGGTGGACCATATTATACTTGTTTTTGGCCCTCTGTTGTTAATATATATTAGGAAGAAACAAAATCCATTGCAGAAACAGCAACTGGGGAGGTAGGGTGGGGGACCTTCTCCCGCAATGTCGGAGTCCATCTCCTGTTTGGGTCTGTGTGGCTGCCAAAGCAAAGATATTTGATGAGCCATTCAGGGATTTCCCACATAAGAGCTAGGTTTCTTGCTGATGATTACCCAATAGGTCATCAGGATTTCTTTCAGAATGCAACCCTAATCAGCCATTGGAAACCAAGATCTTTCAAATATTGGTCTTCATCTCTCATAATCTCTCACCATCACATATTTCTGGCCAGGGTTAATGAATGTTGCAGTCCAACAATGTTTAGATGGCGGACCCACCCCTGATTTAATTAATATCTCCATGGCTAAGTCCATACATTCAGAAAATGGGTACCTGCTGCTTTTAAAGCAAGACGAAGTTCATAGGAAGACATAGTGCCAGAATGATCTGAATCAAAATGTAAGTAGATACCCTGAAACATATATGAAAAAAACAATCAGATAAACTATGTTTACCACTCAGCAAATACTGAAGGCGTATATGGAAAAGCACCACATTAATTTAAGTATTGGTTAGTAGGCAGGTTTCTTCAGTGGTTTAGCACAAGAGAATAAACGATACACTACTTTGTACCAAATTAATTTGGGATAAAACTATAGGAAGGGGTGGTTTTGCTCCTTTGTTTTATCGCAATTCTTACTGAAGCATATAGAAATTTTCCATCTGTGCAAGTGATGAACAGGATTAGCAAAATCTTTTTGTTGTTTCGTGGGCAACAATCAGGCCATGTCATATATCAAGAACCCCGGGTTTGCTACTGAGACTATAGACCACAGCCTGCCCTACCCAGATGACTGCTTGACGCATGCTTCTGCAAAATATCTGTCCTACATCTGGATCATTTTCAAGTGTACACTTGAAGTCTCCTTTAACAGCAACAACATTAAACATAACATGAGTGAATCAGCTTTCAGAAATAGCTGGCAGTGACATGGCAACTCATGTTTAGAGTCAAAATGTACTTGAGTGTAGGACTTCTGGTCTCCTAGATATACACTGACAACCTCTGTCTGTTTCTTCTCTCATAAGTGTCTCTTCTCTGTCTTTTTCAATTTACAGTCTTCAGTGGTATAGCTTATAATTATTCAGGGCACCCTGGAATGTCAGTTACTTAGCGTAGAGAAATAAATCTACTGCATGTTTTTCCATTAATATGATGAGGTAAAAAAAATGAGGATTGGCATTTGGTTGCCAACATGGTTACTCTGTTCTAAGACAGAATTGGTTACACCCAAAAATGGTTCAGGTGAAACATTTTGCTTGATCAGTTGTGTTCTGTGGCGGTAACAGCCATACTTTGTGTGATACAACAATTATAACTTACAGCTAGTGGGGAGGAGAAGATGAAAGCAATATCCTAGTTTATCACTGATCAACACTTGAGAATAAGAGCAAGACTCTCTCTCCCCAAATCCTGCCCAGCTTCTTAATTTGGAAGGTCAGCAGTATACAGGGGAATCCCATTGTTACCACCAGCCTCCCAGACAAAAGTTGGTAACTTTGCCCATTGCTCTCACCATGACATTTCAGGTTGCCAAGGGCAAACTTTTCAGATTTGAGTACCAGCTGCAGGCTTCACAGCTAGTTTTGCCATGGTGCCCCTTTGTGCTGGGAGAAAGCATGAAGCAGGCCAAAAAGAGAATACTACTTATCACTACTACAAGAAGAAGGCAGAGTGATGGGTAACTGAATTGATTTGGGAATTCTGAGAAGACATCCCAGTTTTTCCTAGAAATAACTGTTATCCAGAACATTCATGTTCAGTCAAAATGTTACAAGTCATAAAAATGGCTGGTCTATACTAGCTTCCAAAAATGCCTATGAAAACATCAGAGGAAGCAAAGGTAAGTCAGTTGGTATAAACGTTATGGTTTATATCTACAGGTCCTTATAATTTTAAAAAGAAGAAGAACCCCATACTTACAATCCATTTCTTCAGTTTATCCCAGAAAACTTTGAATTCATTGAATTCCAGTTTTCCATTTCCATTGGACTAAAGCAGCCCACATTAAGGAAAACACTTCCGATTGTGTAACATACTATATCCAGCTTAAACCTATTACTTCATGAATTACTGTATCTGTACAGACTTGTTCTACGGTTCAGTATCAGCTTCTTTTGTACAGATGGAACCTTTTTACCAAAGCACCTAAAGTAGCATTCTGTACATCGAAGATGTCTCAAGACTGGAGCACAGTTTATGCTTCTTCCCGAAACTGTGGAGTGTGGCACCCTCCCATCTCTGTCCACTAATTGCCTCTGCTATGTATACCTGAGCACATACGCTATTCTATTTGCCACAAGCTCCATTTGCTCATTATAGGGGAACAATGTTTGGGACACCTTGTTTTTTGGGGGGGGAATCAATTAGAACTCCCAGAATTGACCTGGGTTGGGAATTCTAGTAGTTTTAGTCCAGAAAAGTATTTTTTCTAAGCTCTGCACAGGAATCCGGCAGTATATCTAGGACCAAGCTGAACGAATGGCCTTTCCCCTGGGAAGGATTAACTTGCTCCTTCTGCCCACAGATTAACTGAGCAGAGGCATATGTAAGACGCCCCCATGTATAAGATGCCCCAATTTTGACCTTTTTCAGCCCAAGTGCCCAAATCAGTGGGCACCCTCTGGGCCGCCACGTCCTCCAGAGAGTGGCCATGGGACACCTTTTTTCCCGTCCCCAAATATAGGCAAGGCCTTCACTTGGCCTTCCTGCGCTGCGCTGCACTCCGCCCCACTCTCTCGCTCTCCTGCAGCACCAGAGTTGCAGTCAATGGGCAGCAGTAATTTCACTCCAAGGGGAGGCGAGGTGCAACTCCTCCCATTCCGCCTCCTCCTCCTGCTGTCACCGCCTGATCCTCACCTCCAGCACCACTTGTGGGCTCCCTTTGTGTGGGGGACAAGGTGGCGGCATGAACTTGAGCTGAGCCCCAGCAGAAAGCGGCGTGGCGCCCTGCATTGGGCTGACATGGCAGTAGCATTGGCATGGCTCGTTGCCCACAGAGAGGGCTCAGCGTTCCAGCTGTGGCACGTGTGCCATAGGTTCATCTTCCGTGTATAAGACGATCGTCAATTTTTACTCTAACTATTTTAGGAAAAAGTAGTGTCTTATACATGGAAAAAATGCAGTACCCTTTCACTAGACTGGTAATAACAGTTGAAGGCAACAAGAAAAGAGGAACACCAAATATAAAATGGATTGGCTCATAAAGGAAACCACAGCCTTGAGCTTGTAAGAGCCGAGCGGGACAGTTGAGGATAGGACATTTTGGAGGTGACTCATTCGTACTTTTGCCCCAATTTGGATCTGACTTACAGCACGTACTTGACATGCCTTCATTATGTCCTTGTGCTCTTACTATACCATAACTGAGTCCTTTGCAAGAAAATTGATTGTGTTGATGCAGAATACTTGTGCCAGAGTAGCTCATAGGCAAAACAAGAAGCTCTGGAAAGTACAGCTGCCATGAAAACCTTCAACTATTTCCTTCCTCCCAACTCTAAGGTCTTTATGTGATCTGAGAAAGTTATCCTGGTTTCAAAAACCCTGCCTCCCAAAGTCTTCAAAGACAGTATACAGCGAGCAAAGATATGAATCAAATCCCCAACTTGCTGTGTCACAAATAGTTTAAATGATCAACCCTACTTTTGAACAGCAAGTTCATCCCAGAAAATGCCAGACATTGATTTGGGCCAGATCTAAACCTCCCATTCAGCCATTCGATAAAAGGGTTAGTTTTAACTTGCAAGCTGGTCCCCATATTTGTCCTTGCACGTCGAGAGCTAAATCTGAGGGTGAGAGTACTCTCTATATATGTGATCTGGAAACCTGAAAATTTACTGTTTTCAATAACATGGCAAATACCCCATGCAAAGATGGCTCTCCTCTTCAGATTTCTGCACATGTTAACCACAATGGCAGGGAAGGGCAGGATTAGCCTGTTCCTTCTGCCCACAGGTTAACATTTGATTTATACCCTGCCAATCTGGTCTAAAAGACCCGCAGGTTAATGAGTAGTGGGAATATAACCTTTTCATGGAATGCTTGAATAGATTTCCAGACTCACAAATCTCTAAACCCCCTTGAAAATATTTTCGCTCAAGAGCATACCGTTTAGCCTTTTGTCAGCACATGTTAACACCTAAAATCTGTTTTGACTTGAGGTTGCAAAGTGTTGAAGATTCTGTTTCTGTTTCATCAAAGGAAAATTTCATATTTTGTTTAAAAGGATACATCCATTAGGGAAATGATATTTTTACATGAAAGGAGACTTATTTTCTTGAACTTGATGTTATTTGCTGGAAGATAAACATCATCATAATATTTAAAAAGAAAATCACCATTCCATGCCATGCCAATCCCACCACAAATTGAAACAAGCTAAAACTGAAACAGAGGGCCATTTTTTTTATTAACTTTGTCTCTGTCTGTTCATTCACAAAGCATCAGGGAGGGGATTAAACGAAAGTGTAACAGAACCTACTCTATTTCCATCCTATACATTTAGAGGGTCTCTCTCTGTTGTGTTGTAAAAATGTGTAAGTTAGGGTGGGTTGCTGGGACCAATCCAATGGGCTAGATGATCTCGAGATTGGGGTCCCACCTGTTTTTCTGGCATCATCAGGTCCCACTTCTGCCTATATCCATTTCCTCCATGTGACAAGAGATATGGAGTTCCATGTTGAGAGCTACCCACTGTGACAAGTACTACACCTGCTTTTATCCTAGCAGGAAAACACTAATCCAAAAGCATGTGCACACAAATGCTCATGATAGTAAGTCCCATTACACTTAACTAGACTGGGACTACATTTGGCTTCGATTCAAGCACATTGTTTGATATGTTTTGTAAAGGATTGCCCATCACGGTTCCATCATAATATGAGACAAGGAGCCACTTGATAGTTGGGTAAGAGGTGCCCAAGCCTTGATGATAACACTTACTTTTTTTCAATACAGCATTCAGAATATATTCAAGTTCTTCTGCACTGATTTCCATATCCTGCAGTCGAAGAAATGAAAGCTGCTTTCACGTTTATGGCTTCAACATGCAATCTATTTAAACATGCAAAATATTTGTGCTAAACCTTTCCAGTTTTTCTGAAGGCAGCCAAGAAAATATGAGAAAGGCTCCCTTCCAATGAAGGCTGCAAAACTTCTGGGTGTCTTCGTGGTTGGTTTAATGGTTTGCTAGCCAGATTTTAAGTGTGCTGAGAGCTGAATTTTAATTGTCTGGCCACAGACAATTAAATTGTGTACTGCCCATTTCTAACCTATCTCTTCCAGCAGCTTCATACAAATGTTAGTGAAGGCAACAGAGCAGGGGTGAAATGCTGGCATTCCAGAGGTTTTGGACTTCAATTTTTGGCAGTACTATCTAGCATAGTCAATGGTAAGGGATTATGGAAATTGTAGTTCAAAACATCTAGAGCAGTGGTTCCAAACCTGGGGTCCCCAAATGTTCTTGGACTAAAAGTCCCAGAAATCCTGGCCAGCCCAGCTAGTGGGGAAGGCTTTTGAGAGTTTTAGTCCAAGAACATCTGAGGATCCACAGTGGAGAACCACTGATATAGAGGACCAAAAGCTCCTCAGACCATTATAGAATGCTCCACACTGTATCTCTTCAGACATCACTCAGACCTCTCCGACAACCACTTTCTGGAATGTTTCTATGATAATAGAAATCAAGGGCAATCTTTGTGACATCTGCCAGATCTTTCAACCAACATAACAAAATACTGGCTAAAATCCTGTGGTCAATTGCAACTAGAGTATGTCTACTGAATCAGTGGGGATTTGGTGAATGAACTAAGTTCTGTTGATTCAATGGGCCTAACTGCAACAAACGACTGGATTTTTGCCATTGTATTCCATTGTGTCCAGGGCTGCTAGGAACATCAACAAGCGTACATTCCTTCTATTTATCTCCAAACATAAGTTGTCCAATAAATTCAGGTAAATATTGTAGCCATGATTCTATATCCTAGCCTGAATCCTGACTGGGAAAAGGAAAGGATGTATCTGAAAGTTCATATTGGGCATGAAGGCTACATATGTACTGTATAGGTACTTCTAGGATGTCTTGCAAAATGTTGTGTAATTTATTCTGTAAATCAGGAGATATCATATAATGTAATGATTTCTGTGATGCAGTCCAGTAAGCTAGACCAGCACAACTCATTTGAACAGATTGCTTTGAGAACTTGAGGAGCAATTTCATCTGTGTTGGTTGCAAGAGCAGTTGTGCCTAATTATAAAAACAGTGATCTCACGACATCTAGGGTTCAAAGAATATATTACAAATATTTTGACTTTTCATTAAGAATACGGTAGCCTTTAACATTTCATCCAAGCTTCTGAACAAATACATATTGTTCAGACACTCACTTTTTAATTCTTCATATTGTCATCTGAGGCAGTCCTGCTGCACACAATAAATCATGTGAGGGACAGATGTCTGGCACTCGTCCATTTTGACAGGGCTAATCTTATGAAGTGAAGGAGGTAGGAGGGCGTCTGGCTCCAGAGATAGCATTCGCCATCTGTTTGGGGGATATAAACACAATCCCACTCCAGCCAAGAAGCACCACACATCAAGTTAAATGTATTGGTTGTGAAACTGGGGTGTAGCTTACTGTACACACTGCTTTTGCTTATACAGATTTATCCAACAAAGAAAATCTGCTCTGGATAAGAGTGTGGAGCTACTCTACAGAATACAGGAACATACCTCTGGCCAGATCAGACCATCAGAATTTCTAGTTCGGTAGACTATGGTACTTCCACTGTCTCTCTAAGGTTTCACAGAGTCCTTTCTTAGACTTACCTGGAAATACCAGACACTGAACCCAGAGAGAGCTTGAGAAAGTTATGGTTTTAGTCTCCCTAAGTCTTCCAAACAGCATGGCCAGTGGCCATGCTGGTTGGGAATGCTGGGTGTTCTGGTCGAAAAATGTTAACTTTTCCAAGCTCTGAAACTGTATTGTTGTAGTTTGATGTTCTTTTACATGTTGTCAATGTAAAACATATACACTGCAAATAAATTGTGGCCCTATTAGTCATCATGAGTTTTACCACAGGATGGTTTTCTTTCCAGTTTATTGATGTATCCTTACCTCGCCTGCAATTTGTTTGAATAATGACCGGAATTGCTTTTCTTCTTCTGTTTCTTGTTGGGGTGGTGTTGGCTGAGGAAGCTTCAAAACAATTCAGAGATTATAAATAAAAAACAAACAAAATAAATATTTTATTTTATTGGATTTCTACCCCACCCATCTAGACCAAAGGTCTACTCTGGGTGGCAAGGTCTACTCTGGGCAGCAAAGTAGGAAAGGAAAAAAAGGAAATAATATTTTTTTAAATAATAGGTGCATTCCTATTCTGTAAGGAAACATCTATGTTGTTAAAATTTTGTTCAGTTGATTCAGTCATTCCTCCCCAACCCCAACCCCCAAAGGTGCATTCCTATTCTGTAAGGAAACATCCATGTTGTTAAAATTTTGTTCAGCTGATTCAGTCATTCCCCTCCCCACCCCCAGTGGTATTTGTCACAATCTCAGAAGCAATAAAATTGTTTGATTAACCCTAGTACAAAAATAATCTATGATTATTACTGTGAAGAAGAAACGTTTAAAGCAATTAAATGAGAAAGTGAGCCGTCCCCTCCTCCTGCTCATGCAGAAGAGATCAACAGAGAAGCAAGTGCATTGCATACAGGAATAATTAACATGACTTTGGAGCCGATTCAAACTACAAGAGAAGAAGAGAGAAAAGTGAGGGAAATGAGACAACCAATGACAGAAGGACTTTTAGTAATCGAAGAGTGGGAGGAAAAGATGGGAATAGGAAGGAGTTGGGGGTTATGAGCAAGTTTGACAGCAGTGGAGGAGGAGGAAAAGGGAAAGTTAGAAGGAGAAAGAGAGTAAAGAGAGTGTAATACTGAGTTAAAGCCGGATCTAAGACATGAATCTAAACCTTATGTTTTTTAAGTACCCCGGAGTAGGGAGAGAGGTGTTGAAAGAGATGGAAAATCTATTTTAGGACCAGTTCCAACAGGAATAGAAGTGCAGTTAGAGGAACTTGATCCACTAGAATGGATGGTATACATTTGTCCATGGGGGAAGGGTCCTTGGAGGAAGGTGGTACATCCGGAACCTATCTCCACTGGAGTGAAATCTCACAAGGGAGATTGGGTCAGGCATCCCTGCTGTGGGACCATATGCATGGTATGGAGTACACCTGTGAGAAAACCGACCGATCGAGAGAAATTTGGGATGGCGCCACATTAAGGGAAACAGTTGTTACTAGTGACTCTGATGTTATATGGAACGATTTGCCATTGTTTAACAGTCCTGGGGACGTGGTGGCGCTGCAGGCTAACCCGCAGAAGCCTGTGCTGCAGGGTCAGAAGACCAAGCAGTTGTAAGATCGAATCCACGCGACGGAGTGAGCTCCCGTTGCTTGTCCCAGCTCCCGCCAACCTAGTGGTTCGAAACCATGCAAATGCAAGTAGATAAATAGGGACCACTTCAGTGGGAAGGTAACAGCATTCTGTGTCTAAGTCACACTGGCTATGTGACCACAGAAGATTGTCTTCGGAGAAAAGCTGGCTCTATGGCTTGGAAACGGGGATGAGCACCGCCCCCTAGAGTTGAACACGACTGGACAAAAATTGTCAAGGGGAACCTTTATCTTTTCCTTTAACAGTCCTGTTGGGCCCACTGAAGTTGTAGTTCATCCCTCCCCTCCTCATGATATAAACTGTTTGGTTAATAAAAATATGTCTCCTGTCATTACTCACAAGGAAAAAGGGAAACTGCTATTGTCACAAAATGAACCCAATCACAATGACTATTTGTCAAATCATTAATTAAATCTTAATTATGGCAACATACCTCTGGCAGATCAATGTCAACCTTTCCATCCATTTCCCTATGAAAAATAAACATGAATCTAGTAAACTTAACTGATAAATCAAATTTCTTATTTGGAAGTTCATCTTGAAAAAGAGGTACAGGCCAAAATCCTCATGAGCAGGGGGATATTTGAGATGATTAAAGACTTCTTCCTTTTCTCCAACCTTTTTAGATGCAGAAAAAGCCTCCAATAACGTTGATTGGGAGTTTATGTTTCTGCAATTAAGATGGGAGCAGAAGGAATTTTTCTACAAATAATTAAAGCAATATACCACTAAACAGAAGGTCAAGATTAAAATCAATGGCCAAGTAAGTGAAAATATTCAAACTGAACAAGGCACAAGGCAGGGTTGTCCACTTTCTCCGTTATTATTTATTCTAACATTAGAGATTCTAAATAGACAAATGAGAGGGAATGCTGGAATTAAGGGTCTCAGAATCAGGGGAGAAGAATTTAAGCTGCAAGCATATGCTGATGCCTTCTGGACAGTTTGGAAGAATTAGTGAGAACTATAGAAGAATTAGGAGCTATTGCAGGTCTTAAAATAAACTATCAAAAAACAAAATTCATGACTAAAAGCATAAAGAAAGAAGACGTGGAAAGACTGGCAATGAAAACTAATTTCGAGGAGGCACAGAAAGTGAAATATCTAGGAGTTATCTTTATAAAAAAAGCCAAGCAATTTGATGAAAGAAAATTATCTTACAACACAGAAGGAAATTCAGAGAGACCTGGAAGAATGGAATAAGCTGGAAACCTCTATGATGGGAAGAATCTCAACAATAAAGATGATGATATTATCCAAACTGTTATTTTTGTTTCAAAATTTACCAATTTTATTAAATTATAAATACTTCAAGGACCTGGACAGCCTGAATTTGAAATTTGTATGCAAGGCCAAGAAACCAAGAATAAAATTTAGAATACTGCAAGACTTAAAAGAAAGAGATGGTTCAGGATTACTGAATTGGCTATTATATATACAGTATTTAAGGCATGTGCCATGGTCTGCATAAAAGAATGGATAACATTAGAAAATCAAAGATTATTGAAATTGGAGGGTCATGATCTAAAAATGGGTTGGCATGCATATGGGAAATACAAAGAACAATCACATTTTGCAGAACATATTTTGAGGAAGGCTCTCTGCTTAGTATGGCAAACATTTCATATACAAACCTACAGGAAAATTCCAATATGGGTAGCACCAATAGAAGCATTCACTTTGAAAGTATTGAATCAGAAGGGAGCGTAAAGATCAGAATATAAAAGATAAACAAGATCTAGAGAAACTAGGCCTAGCTACAGATTGGTGGTCAATGTTGAAATTAGAATTGAGATATAAAAAGGACAAAATTATGGGCTTTTTTGAGGGGAAAGTCCAGATGGATGAATTATGGATTTACACTAATGAGAAAATAACTAGAAAATGTATACGACTTAGAGGATGAGAGGGTGAAGGAGGAAATGGTAAAATTGGCACAAAATTTGGGGTACAATATTGATATTGACGAATGGACAAAGATGTGGAAAGAGAATCATAAAATGATTAAGCTAGTGAATCTTAGAAAAAAAATCCTTAAAATGTTTCATAGATGGCATTTTACTCCTGTAAGATTGGCAAAAATGTCAGAAGGTAACAGTAATGTTTGTCGGAAGTGGAAGTTTTTATTATCATATGTGGTGGTCATGTGAAATTCAACAAAAATTAAGCTTTAAACCTGATATGTTATTATTTAATATAATACCAGAAATTATTGACAAGGAAATAAAATATAGTCTACTGTATCTATTCACAGCAGCTAGGTTACTCTGGGCCCCAAAATGGAAGAATGTAGAGACACCAACAATGGATGAGTTATTAAAGAAGCAATTGTATATTGCAGAACTAGAATGCTTTCAGAGGCACTACAGGATCAACCAAGAGACTTTGAAAGCAAAACTGGAAGCTGATATAGAAAAAGCAGAAAAAGACAGGAACTTAGGGGGGAACTTAGTCTACAGCAAACCAGTGCTCACCAGAATCCCCTTGAAGATATTTCAATGACCAGATGATGGTGAAATTCTGATCCATAGGGGAAGGATGGATAGCTGTGTTTTGTCGTTGTTGTTGTTAATTATCTGTTAGACCAGAATCCCCTTGAAGATATTTCAATGACCAGATGATGGTGAAATTCTGATCCATAGGGGAAGGATGAATGTTTAGCTGTCTTTTGTAGTTGTTAATTATCTGTTAGATGTTAATGTTTTTAAGTTTGTATGTTTAGATATGAATAAAATGGTTTTTTTTTAAAAGGCTTCTTCCTTTTCTCCCACAGCTTGGCCAACTTGTAAGTAATCTGTTTCATCACCTAAAGTCATGTGGAGGTACAATACAGAAAAAGGGAGTTTTTAACTACCAAGAATCACCACTGCCAGATGACATTAACAGCACAGGGGGAGTTTAGTTAAATACTTCCTCCTTCTGTCCTGTGGTTCCCAGTGCTCAGTGCTGAAACAGACTACTGACAGGTTAGACAATATACACAACTGAAGAAGGAAGTCTTTAAGTATTGGAAATCTCTACTGGTAATTTTTGAAAGTGGATTTGACCATTGTATATGTAACAAACCTAAAAATAAATATGTCCACTTCATTGCTGTAAGTAGTGTGATTGCAGGTGCCTAAAAAGAGGTGACAATTTCAAGATATCACAGGGTGAAAAATAACTAAATACTTTTAAAAAACTATCAAGTCAATTCAGATTTATGCTCTTTGCAGAATTTTCTAGGCATAGAGTACTCAGGAGGGATCAATTTTCTTCTTCTGATGGTCCTTTGGGACTGTGAAGCTTGCCCAAAGCTTGCATAGGCTGGCTTTTCTCTTGGGACTCACAGTGAGGAATCAGACTCCCAGCCCCTAACAAACTGAGCTATGCAGCCACACAAAAATTATGGAGGTATTGGCCATGTTTTTCTTCTATCAGATGTTAGGAATCTTTTACCTACTAGATATTTTGGCCTGCAATGTCCCTCCACTCCAGCCAGCTATGAGGTGTCACCACATATTGAGTTGGAGTTAGTTCCAGGTGCATCCTGTACTTTGAAAGGTCCTTCAGGTGGAAAAGATACGTGGTAATACTTACGTAGTGACAGCTTTCTTCTCGGAGAAAATTCTTAAGCAGAAATCAGCTTCTTGATGGGGCTCAAACGTGGTAGGGAGAATAACATAATCTCCAGGTGGGAGTGTGAATCGGTCAGAGACTTCCCTTAAGTTTATATAGGTCTTGCTTCTGGCCTTGGATGGATGGTAGCGGAAAAAATCCTTTGTCAAGTGTTCATCTTTACTGGGACTCTGAAATGGGATGTTCCATTTAATTTGTTAGCTCATCAGGTATAAATGGTCATATTTTTCTGATAATTTGAATTTCCTATCTGTGTAAGGTTTTATTTATTTATTTATTTATTTATGCTACTATACCGCCCATCTGGCTACTAGGCCACTCTGGCCAGTTTACATGTTAGACAAATAAAACATACATGATACCAACAATCAACATAATACTACTAAATAAAAATAAAACAAACAACAATTTAAATAAAATAGTTACATTAATATAAAATAATATAATATAGAGCAAGACAGCAGGATTGATAGCATAAATGTTGGAACCACTCACTGTAATTAGGTGTTGTAATTAAGATGTTGTATCTCATAATAGTCTGATAATTCTCTAAATAATGGCTGAAATCCTGTTCCCTCTATTGTGCCATATAAAGCTGACTGCTCTCAGATTATGGGATACTTTCCCTCAGGAGGTCAGGTTGCCCCCTCCCACCCGCTGATAGTTGAAGACCCACTTCTTCAGGCAGGCTTTTAATATCTATGATTGAGCCCATAAATGCTAGGATTTTGGTTGTTATTTGCTCGCTTGCTTTTAAAGCAAAGCTATGCCGACAGGATTTCACCAGTCTCTGATAATTCTCTATGATGGTTTTTGAAGATACATGAACACACCTCAGAATTCCTATTCCACATTGGGACACTGGACTTGCTGCCCGGATATTTCAAACAATCTGTCTTAGGGTCAGATCGCACACAAAGGCAAAATCATATTTCCTCCTCTTGCAACGTTATCCTTTTGGGCAAAGCAAATATTTATGCTTCGGGTCTGAAATGTCAGATGTGCAAACAAAGCTGTGCTGCCTCCCAGCTGACCATTTGGAAAACAAAGCCAGCTAATTTTCCAAATATAAATTGAGCCAGGCTTAGGGTAGAATAAACAGTCAGCCTTTTAGTCTTAAAGAGAAAATGCTTCACGAGACAGAATCAACATCTCTGCTAGAGAGGCCCTTGTTCCTCTGTTCCCATACACTAATTTCAGGCATAGCATAATGAATAGCACACACATTTCTGCAGGTATATAGAAAACCACTACATACAAAAATGTCAACATCTGGGGGTGCTTATTATTCTATTAGAACTTTCTTGCTGACACTCTTTTTGTACACTTCTTCATCATCGTAGGACTGCTTGGAGATGTAGAATTATTTCTGTGAATAAGACAATAACTGAAACGGACCTTAGATCAGCTTACCATTTAATATTACCCAAAAGATGTCCTCCGCCCTGTTATTGTATCACCAGCCGTGAATTAAAGCTCCACTGGCTGCTCAGACATCTCCACTGTATGTAAGGGAGAGGTATGCTGTCTTGTGCTTTGCCTCAGGCAGCAAAACATCTGAGGCTGACCCCAGGAAAGGGCCTCAGGGGTTTCCCCAAAGCAGGGCTGTGCCTTGTCAGGAATCTGGCATGACTCTGGCCACCACATGACTGTGGATCAGTACCTCATAGATAGCATATCCTATTGTTAGCATTTCTGCTCCCTGTTTCCTCAGTTTACGGCGATCTTTTTGCATCAGAGCTGCTAGAAATGTGCACCCATCTTCTCCATCATCTTTTTCAGACAACTGCAGTTTGATCTGTGGGTTTGTCCAAAACGTCTCTGGAAGAATGTTAGCAGAAACAGAAACATAAGTTGAGTGAAGAGAGAGGATGAATAGTTCTATTTTCTACTATGGATCACAAGCAGGAATGCATTTTTTTAAAATAACCATTAGATTGTTCCTAAAAGCATACTCAAAACTGTAATCCTAATCGGGTCAGAGTTCCTATACCTTTAAAAGTTGTGTGGAGGGAGAAATCCCATCATTAAAAGTTCTGCCTGCTGAAAGGTCCTAAGCAAATATTAAAGGTACAGGAACCTTGTCTTCTTTTTTTGACCAACTCACCCTATGATCTGTATATCTACACATGTCTCTCTAATTAGGCTATGGTCTATGCATCTGAAATAGTGGACCACAGTCCACGAAAGCTTAGACTTTAAGATGTCACAAGACTCTCTGTTGGTAACTCTAGTAGGTTTCTCTTCTGGCTTCTTCCCTAGGAGTACAAACATCTAATTGAGACTATATGCATACCTATGAAATTTCTGCAGCCTCCAGCCGTGGCGCCCCTGACCCAGCTGCCCTGGTGGACTGTCACCTCCCATTTATGAATATCGTTGTTATCAAGGGCATCAGGAGTGAGATTGCAAATCTCAGCTTTGTCAAAATGGGACTGGAAATCTTCAAACTTCATCCTACATGAAATGGAAAGAAAAGTAATTCTATGGATCACTGTAGCTCACGTATACTAATTCTCAAACTGCTTCTAAACTTATCCCCTCAGCTAGAGTATGAAAAAAAATTTTCCCCAGAATTCTACAAGTAGCATGGTCAGAAAATTTTCCAGCTGTGTTAGAAAAGATGGCTTTCTTAGGATCGGTTCACAATTTTTACTTATTTTATCTTTCTAAGGTTTAGGATATACAACAATGTCTCTAATCCAGCAGCATTAATTTATGCCATGTAAGGCTAATAAAATCATCAGCCATGATAGTTTTTTCAGAAATTAAAGTTTTCTGACCCTACCTTCCTTCCTTAATTCCAGCAGCTCCCTTTCATCATGCAGAAGCCATTGGAGACTGAGGGACAGAAGGAGGAAGTCTTTAATTACCAAACACTGTGGCCAGTGGGATAATTTTACTGGTGGCTGCCATTTTTGGAAATTAAAGAATTCCCCTCCCCATCCTGCACCCCTCCTGCAACAGCCCTTCCATGGTGAAAAGGCTTCCAAGTCGCCTTTGGTTGAGCAATCGAAAATGTTTTATTTCCAAAAAATTGTCACCAGCTTTATGAGGAATATGTTATGCTGTCCGATTTCAGCCAGTGTTTTCCACAGAGTTTCTTCAAATAAGTGAATGTTGCTTCTCCTTTGGTTTTTCTATTTGGGTGCTTGTACTTCTTCACCACATGAAGAAGTATCAAATCCACATGACGGAGTGAGCTGCCGTCGCTTGTCCCAGCTCCCGCCAACCTAGTGGTTCGAAAGCATGCAAATGCAAGTAGATAAATAGGGACCACTTCGGTGGGAAGGTAACAGCGTTCCGTGTCTAAGTTGCACTGGCCACGTGACCACGGAAGATTATCTCTGGACAAACGCTGGCTCTATGGCTTGGAAACGAGGATGAGCACCGCCCCCTAGAGTCGAACACGACTGGACAAAAATTGTCAAGGGGAACCTTTACCTTTACCTTTACTTCTTCACCAACAAGTATGGGTCTTATCAAGATTTCTTCCTTCATCCAAATGAAATTCCCCTTATCCCACTATATAAATATAAAAACTCACAGCTCTCTGACTGAGAGGTGGTCTACAAATCTAAGAAAATAACCAAGAAAAAATGAAATCATTTTTACTAGAAATAGGACATGGCACATGGTGAAAGATGATCCATTTTAAACTCTGATTATGTCTGCCTTAAGTAACAGTTAAAAGGTTTAATTATCTAATAAAGTTTATTGCTTGATCAAATTTATCATTTTAATGAATATATGCATTTACCAGAATTCTCCGTCATCTAGTGCTGTATGATACAAACGTTTTTTCTCAGATGGGCTGACATATTGCCATTCAGGGGAACTTGGAGAGAAAAAGACAATCTTAATAAATAAATTGATTAATGAGCAATAAAATGTATGCACTGCCAGACAGATATTCTGCTATTCTCTGCAAAAATATACTAACTTACTCTTCTTTTGCATTGACAGTCCAATCTATCATAATATATGTTTTCATATTTTAACTGAGTAATTTTTGGAATCTAATATTGTTAGCCTTAAGATTGGTGGACAGACTAATGAGTCAGTTTCTCATGCATTAATTCCTAAATCAACCCTCTCCTGTTTCTGCTTTAAGTTTTAATAAAAAGAAAGAAATATTTTGATTGGTTAATATACCACTTCATTAGTGCACAGCACTATTCTGGGCAGTGTCCATTAAAAGAACCCAAGATAATACAAACAAATCCTGTATAAAATATGAAAACCAAACAACAATAACTAAAAGAAACCACCATACATTTATATGTATATAAACAAACATTTTGAAAGTATCTTCCCACAAAATATGGATTTATAAATATGTTATATTTGAAGATACAATCAAGAATACCCTAAAGTGCTGTATATTATTAAAAACACATTCTGGCAAATTTTTGAGTTAATATCTCTATATCTGAAGAGATACAAAATCCAGGGGATTACTATAATAATAACTATTATATAATACATAATTATACATAGTATACATAATTACTCCAAGAGGTAAGGATTGGGTTGGAATTCATGAAGATATAAATCTTTCAGCAACATTACTTAATTTTCTGCTATAAGCAATGGTTCAGGGGTGTTAGCAGAAGTGATATTAGACCTAATGCCTTCCATGATTCCATGATTAAATATGGATTACATATGGATCCAGACAGTTGTTTTGTAAGTATATTCCCCTAACACTCTGATCTCACAAATTATTATTCAGGAATAAATCCCACTGATTTCAGTACAACCTGCTTGCAGTTATGAATATCTACAGAAACACAGTGTTTTCCTTCGCTGTGGCCATGCAATAAATTAATTATTTTACTTCACTTCAGATGATTAGCCAGTATTTATATTTTCAGAGTTTCCAAGATGAGGTTGTCTACCAGTGGATATTTTATCACACACCCACAATATTTAGCACTTACTAAATATTGTGTGTGTTCAATAACAGGACTGCTCTTGACAGAGCACAGATATATGAAAGGTTCTTGTTAATATACTAACTTGTCACTCCAGGCACCATTCCACTCTACTTGACCCCATGGATTCCTAACCCGGATAAGCTTCACTTTTCTTCCTTGGTAGCTGACCTAATAACAACCAAAGCAAGAAACAGAAAAACTAAATACAGTAACTCTCTGGTGCAACAATACTTGCATTCCTCAGAATGTTTGGTCTTAAAATACAATGACACCTCGCTAGACAGTTACCCCGCATGACAGTTTTTTCGCTAGACATTGACTTTTTGCGATTGCTATAGCGATTCGCAAAACAGTGATTCTTATGGGGGAATTTTGCTGGACAGTGTTTGGTCCCTGCTTCGCACACCGATTTTTGCTAGACAACGATTTTGACAGCTCCTTCCGCACTCGCAAAATGGGTGTTTTCGGGATTTAGACTTCGCAAGACAGCTATTTAAACAGCTGATTGGAGGTTCGCAGAGCGGCTTTCCTATGGCCAATCTTCACTAGACAACGACGATTCTTCCCCATTGGAACGCATTAAACAGGTTTCGATGCATTCCTATGGGGAAATGCTTTTCGCTAGACAATGATTTCACTAAACAGCAATCTCAGTGGAACGGATTATTATCGTCTAGCGAGGCGCCACTGTATTCCATTGGATTCATCAGGACTGCTTTATAAAGCAGCAAATCATTTGACTACAGGCTATATTGAGAATAATCTAGTCAACCATGGTCAGTGTGACATCTTTCACTAACAAACAAGTTTTCTTTACGACATCAAATAATTCAACAAATCTCTATTAAATTTGGGGGGGGGAAGAGAAAGAAAATGGGGAGAGGTGAAAGAAAGAGAGTAGAGAATGCGGAGGTGTCCATAATTTGCCATGAGAATGGATCCAGCAAGTTTCTATTTACTAAGTCAGGTCAAACAGAAGCATTATAGATAAAACATTTCCTGATCAGATAGTCTCAACAGCCTAACAGATTTGTAGTTAGGAAATGTGTTATTTATGCATTCCTGCACTTTCTCAGTTGTTACTTTGGAACTTTCCACTTGGAGCTAAAAAAAATACATAACCTGTTTTACTATTCAGCAAGACTCATTACATACATATACTCTGTGTGTGTTAGTGGTGCTCCTGCTTTTGAAAACCATAAAATTTATTGTTATATTACTAATATCCACTCTTTCTGTTTTGTGAACTCCCAGGCCAGTGAACTGAAGGGCTTTCCTCCACAAACTCTAATTCAGACTTTAAAGCAGTTGTCTAAGGTGCAGAATGCTAGTCCTCAGACAGGGTCAGAAACTTATTTAGCTCCTTTTAAATTTCAGACTAAAACCTAGAGCACATTAACCAATCTACTGGCATCAGAGCCAATAGCTACCATTGGTGATTCTTAAACTTTAATGGCTCTATCTTCTACAGAAGGAGCCCCTAGTAATTAAATAGCTGTACATGATGAGCCAGACATGGTTGAATCTCTTTCTAGAGGCAAAGAATCAAACTAGACATTAAAGGGAATGTGTATTTCCTGCAATATTTCCTCCCATATTGCTACCAGAGTAGGATTTCCTCATGAAACAATTTACAAATTAAGATCATCTTAACATTCCAGTAGTCAGTCATGAAAAAATAAAGCAAACTATGTGTAAGAATAGAGAAAAAGTACAGGCTGTACAAACAGAATGTGTTAAATGTATCACTACATTTGACCAAAGGTAACATGAGTCCTCCCCCCCCCCATTGAACATAAATATACAATATACTTTGTGGGTTGCCTGATAATATGCCATGTCAGCAGTTTTTTTTAATGTGGTCTTACTACTCCTTCATTATATCATAGCAATCATTGTGAATGGGATAGTCAGTTTCTGTTTCCAAAAGCACTTTTCCCTTCTTTTCTATCAATCCTCTTTGCAGTGAGAAAAATAGCTATAAAAATCCATTTACCTCGTCAATGCCTGTTACTGAATATGCATGACCCTTTATAAGACCATATGGAGTTCGAGCTTCTGTCTCTGCTGCACTGCTGGTCTAAAATATAGAAACATTATTTTATTTAACTTTATATTTTTATTTTATACATACATATAAGAGCATCAGAGATACAGTGTGGAACATGAAGCACAGAACCTTACAATGTAAGAGGCCAAATTTAACATTCGTGTTCATGTTTAATCTGATGCCTAGTCACTCATTGTCATCACAAATAAGGCTCTGAATAATTCTCAGAAGATTTGAAGGACTGGGAAAGACTGCACCCCCAAGAAGAAATTTCCGACATGCTATAGTAACTTAAGCGTGAAAGCCGACACTGTTTTGTATGGGCCTCCCATTTCTGGAACGGGACTTCTTTCCTCTCCCCTGGAGACCCATGTACCTGCAAACTGCTGCTGGATCCCCTAGAGAAAATATTGAAAATGTACAGTAACATTGCTTGAAGGTAGAGTAATCATCCCTTCCTACTGTGTTGCTGGAGATCATCCCATTGGCAGTGAAGGCAAATTGGATACAGTATTGGCTGCAGAAAATCCAGATTACCTTGCATTGATTTGCAAGCTCTCAGCCTGCTTCACAGGATTGCTGCAATACTAAATGGGTGTTCTGAGCTCCTTGCAGGAAAAAGTAGAATATACAAATTTCAGAAACAGCCAAGTAGGTATCATTAATGGCAGTTTGGAACATAAGTGATGCTGAGATGGGGGTGTTACAAACTTCAGTAGGCCTAGAACAGCACAATTAGCTTGGAAGTGCTCATATGATGGCTGGAGCCATATCAATGCTTGTTTGGGATTAAGTCAATGATCTTGCCAATGTGCCATAAGCATTCTGTACTAGCCTTCATAAACTCTTTTTAGGAAAAATATCACTGTAGTGTCCAAACACTGTAGCAACTTTGAGTTTGAGAGAGAAAGTGGTTAACTAAGATTTATTGCTGGCAGCTTTTGAGAAATGTCAGTGTGAGATGGATGGATAATGTGTGGTGGACACAGATAAAATGAAGTGATTCCTTGTACAATACTGTACCGTCACCTCAGTACTTTGACTGGTATGCACTATAGGTGAAGACGGAGCTACTGGATTATTCCTGGAGGACGGCAAGTTTAACATTGGGCAACCGAAGAATATTCTCACCTGACAGTCTTTTGAGAATGTATTGGACTGCTGGTTGCTTAAGACTCATCAGGTGTATGGAGAGGAACCAGGAAAAAAATCCATGAAAATATGAACTGGCTTTTAGTTAAGATAAGCATGTATTTGTTTATTCATTTCTTGCATTTGTAACCTTCTCCAATGAGCAGAAAGTAATATGCTGCTTACTTTAATGTGTTTCAATGCCATTTGAACAAATATGATGATGTGCTGTCAGTATATTTTTTTTCCCTCTACTTCATTTCCTCTTTGCCTGGTAGTCATGGGAGCTGACAACTGACAGGCATCACCCATCATGACAAAACTAAGGTTTGGATTTCTGCAAACAAAAACACAATGCATACTGGTTTTCTCCTCTTACTCACGTCAATAGAACAGCCCACCATGGAGCCTCTTTTAAGAGCTTTTCCCAAGATCTCATAGAAGTTTTCTGGGGCTTTTTTAATTTCATACAGTTCTCCAACACCTCCTGTGAAATCTTCCATGGCTTCGATTGTGCTTCCACCTTTGAGAGCTTCATAACTTCCATTTAGCCTGTCATTGACAATTCAACACACACACAGACACACACACACACACACACACACACACACAGAGAGAGAGAGAGAGAGAGAGAGAGAGAGAGAGAGAGAGATTAGATTGCGAACAAAATAATCAAAATGCACATCTGTCCCAACCTCACCTAAATATTATGTCTATCCATATGAAATAAGAAAGGAGTTAATTACATATTTCCATTTCCTTTAATCCACCAGTTTTTCCCTTTGCACATACTGTATCTCAGTTCTTTAAGAAAGACTCTGTAGACAACTGCAGCTGCATCTTTCTTGCCTTTCCTAAACTGCTTCTTGATGATCCATTGCCAGTTTCGCCCAATGCTGCATCTCTCCGTGCCAGTCTCTTCGAAACAATCCCTTAGTTATGTGCTAATAAGTCACTCCTCTTCATGGATTGCTGCCTTGTCATGGCGAAGGGGCTTGAGTAATTCAGAGAAGCTATGGGCTATGCCGTGCAGGGACACCCAAGACAGACAGGTCATAGTGGTGAGTTCTGACTAAACGTGATCCACCACTCCAGTATCTTTGCCAAGAAAACTCCATGAATAGAAACAAAAGGCTAAAAGATATGACGCTGGAAGAAGAGTCGCTCAGGTCGGAAGGCGTCCAATATGCTACTGAGGAAGAGCAGAGGACAAGTGCAAGTAGCTCAAGGGCTAATGAAGTGGTTGGGCCAAAGCCGAAAGGACGCTCAGCTGCAGAAGGCCTGGAAGTGAAAGGAAAGTCTGATGCTGCAAAGAAAAAAAACTGCATAGAAACCTGGAATGTAAGATCTATGAACCTTGGTAAGCTGGATGTGGTCAAACAGGAGATGGCAAGAATAAACATTGATATCTCCTGTCAATGGACGGCAATGGGTGAATTCAATTCAAACAATTACCATATCTACTATTGTGGGCAAGAATACCATAGAAGAAATGGAGTAGCCATCATAGTCAACAAAAGAGTGGGAAAAGTTGTACTGGGATACAATCTCAAAAATGATAGAATTATTTCAATACGCATCCAAGGCAGACCTTTCAGCATCACAGTAATCTAAGTTTATGCACCAACCACCAATGCTGAGGAAACTGAAATTGACCAGTTTTATGAAGATTTACAACACCTTCTAGAAGTGACACCAAAGAAAGATGTTCTTCTCATTCTAGGGGATTGGAATGCTAAAGTCGGGAATCAAGAGATAAAAGGAACGACAGGTAAGTTTGGCCTTGGAATTCAAAATGAAGCAGGGCAAAGTCTAATAGAGTTTTGTCAAGAGAAGAAGCTGTTCATCACTAACACTCTTTCCAAGAAACACATTAAGGCTTATTTTCAGGGCTTATTTTCATCTTCTTCTGGTTGCTGCATAATGCTGCATGATGCTGCACAATGATGGAGGGCAGGGTTCCACTTAACTAGGGATTATTTTTTGGGTAGGGCTTATATTATGAGCACCCTGAAAAATCATACTAGGGTTTATTTTCAGGTTAGGTCTTATTTTGGGGAAAACAGGGTAATGTCTGATCCTTCCTTGGATGAAATCAGGTAGCAGGCGGAAGGTGATGAGCTTTTAACTAAATCAAGGCTCATGTGGTTTTATTGGTATCCAAATGGTTTGCTATACAGAGAATTTGCACCAGAATCCAGATTGGACATTGCTCCATTGTCTCAATTAGCGATTCCACAGACTTACAGAGAGAAAGTTTTGCAACTGGAGCATGGTTCTGCTTTCTATGGGCACTTAGATATAAAACAGATTTTGCAGAGCGTTACCCAACATAGAGCATTCTAAATATCTGTATCTTCTCTCAAAACCTTGCCTTCTTCATGTCGGCCAAACAGTTAGAAGTTCTTATTGCTTTATATTTAGACAGCAGTGTCTAAAGTATGCATTGAGTCACCAATTCCGGGATAACCTTTAGTGGCAAAGGAAGTGGAGTTAGATGCATGGTTATGGAAGTCTTTTATGAAAGTGACCTCCAGCAATGTTAAGATACACAGAAGGGTATTGACTCTCTAGCTGAAATCCTGTTGCTTAGCATAGTAAACTGCAGTAGAGTCTACCCATTGAATCAGTTGAGATTTGATGAGGCAATTACTCCATAGTTTCTCTTTATTCAAATGGGCCTACTCTAGCTGCAACACTGTGCTACAGTAACCTGCAACTTGAGTAGGCCATTTGAATTAATAGAATTTATGAAGGACTCAACTCGCCAAATCCCCACTGATTTTAGTGTGACTTACTACACTAAGCAACAGGATTTCAGCCTGTGAGAGACTTGATGTTTTATAGGATGACAACCAAGAAACATGTAGCATTTTCCCTGAAAGCCTCCACTACTTACTTTAGATGCTATACTGTAGGTCTCCATAGGCATTTGTCTCTGACTGACTGCAGCCATTTAACAATTGCATGCATTTACTGGAAAACACTGCATTTTATCAATTAATTAATTTATTTATTATTTTTTATTTATTTATTTATTTAATATCCCACCTATCTGGTCGGGTTAGGACCACTCTAGGCGGCTACCAACATAAAATAGACAATAAATATATATAAAACAAATTTATACATAATGAAAACATAAAAACATTTGCACAGAAAATGTGCAAAGGCCTACTATGCAAAGGCCTTTGACTTTGTGGACCACAACAAGCTATGGCAAGTTCTTAAAGAAATGGGAGTGCCTGACCACCTTATCTATCTCCTGAGAAATCTATATGTAGGGCAGGAAGCAACAGTTAGAACTGGATATGGAACAATTGATTAGCTGGGGCGTCAATGCTTGACCATCTCATGAGAAGAGAAGACTCCCTAGAAAAGACCCTGATGCTGGGCAAGTGTGAAGGCAAGAGGAGAAGGGGACAACAAAGGACAAGATGGTTGGATAGTGTCATTGAAGCTACCAACATGAATTTAACCCAACTCCGGAAGGCAGTGGAAGACAGGAGGGCCTGGCGTGCTCTGGTCCATGGGATCACGAAGAGTTGGATATGGCTTGACGACTAAACAACAACAAATAAGTCACCAATGACTTATTGCTACCCTAATGGAGCTTCCAAGGTAAATGAGATATTTAAGGAATGGTTTTACCAGTTCCTCTACACAGTGAATTTCCATGGCTAAGTAGGAAATTGAACACAGACCTCTGGAGTCCTAGTCCATCACTCTGTCCACTATACCACACTGGTTACCCTAACAGAAGAGTCTAGACAGGAATAAAAGTCAATATTAAGATTGCTGAGGAAACAAAGAATCATCATCTGAATCGCACAATAAACATGGCTTACTTGGCATAGGCTTTTTCCAGCAATGCACTCCAAAATTCATTGTTGTCTGCAGAGTGCAGGAAAACCAAACGATCTTTGAAAGTAGGCAATCGGTCATCAATAACAATATCCAGCCACTCACTGTGTTGCCAGAACTGTTAGAAGCAAATGGGAAATCATATATGAACTTGCAGTATGTTGCAACTGTAAATCCAACAGTTGTTTAAAGTCTTAGTAAGATCAGAGTTCCATCAAATGATCTAGAAGTAAGTGATACACAATAATCACAATCGTCCATCAGCTCTTTAAGGCATATAGATATCTATCCCATTGCATAATGTTTTCCTTGCAACATGAGTTGTTTTACCTGAAAATGAAATATTCCAGCATAACCTGGTCCAAAGTCCTGATCCTGTGGTACTACTCTGGCTAATGTTCTTTCATTAAGAGTAAGAGATGCTATAGCTGCTAACAGCCAACAGTCACCTGGAAATCAAACAGAACAATGCACAGATTACTTTCTAGTCCCGTGTCTACAACATGGAGATCAAAGCTCCCCATTATTCCCTATGAAGTCACCTTCAGGCTTTCCATTTGGCCTCATTCCATCCAGCCCCTTCCTGCTTAGTCCCCTTTCATAGCCGTACATTAGTCTAACTTCACTTAAATGACACCCCATTTTGCAAAACACAAGAGGTATAGTCTATGGAAGCAGAAAGGAAAGGGAAGTCAGTGTGCATCACATTTTGAGGTATAAAGTGCAATCTTCTACTTGTTTATCTTAAAATAAGCCCCAGTGAATTCAACAAAGCTTACTCCTGAGTAGACATGACTGGAATGTGTATTTTGCTAGGTTTTGCCCTTTGCAAGCTGAACTCTTCCATTCGGTGTCCATTTCAGAAAGTGACCTAGATGCCTGGTGGAGACTGACATACAAAGGGCAATTGTTCTATACGTGCAAATATACACTGGGTTCCACTGGGCTGGGTCAAAGGGATCAGACCATGAAACATGCTTGTGATGTGCCCCTCATGTGTTCACAGGTTGTTCACTAGCCTGAGGCCCACAACATGTTCTCTCCTTTCTGCTGCCACCAGTTGACCTCTGTCAACACCCTTTAATTAGGAAGATATAAAGTATAAAGTATAAAGTTGAACAACACAGATTTATTGATTACAGTTCGTTTAAACAGGTTCTTCACAGACTTTAATGTATTCATTAGATTAGTAATAACCTGCTTCACTCTTAACTCTCTTAGCTCTCTATTAAGTTCCACACTCTTAACTCCTGACTCTGCCACACTCTCTAACTCTCACAGACAAACTCTTACTTCAGACTTTCCACTCTGACTTTCACTGACTGAACTCTACACAGCTCTTCTCTCACTCACCCCTCCCTTCTGGTTTCTCTGGCTCCGCCTCCCAACAGATCCCATTGGTACATGCTAATAACCTACTATATGAAACACAGCAGGGTGATCATTACAATGCTCTCTATGTGTCTGCGTACATGCACGCTCATGCCATTCCTGGGTAAGGCTGTACACAGGCAAACCAAGTGACCCACATAAATGGGGGTGTAGTTCCAAGTGAACTATCAATATATAGCAATGTCCATGCCAATCAGTCATGAATAATGTGGCTGTACCACTTCCATACTTGTGTTGCTCCCTCTTGAGACATACTGAAATACGCATTGCTAAAGGCAATGTGCAATGGTTAGAGATGGCGATATTTGTGTTCATAAACGAATACAAATATCCCTGTCCCAAGTGCACCTAATGCAGGTCTGGCCCTCGGAACCATCCAGCAATGCCAGTGCCCTTCTCGTCTTGCCAGTCACAGAAGGAGCTCCACCATGTCCCTGCTCAGCTGGCCACTCAACAGCTGGTGGGGAGACTTGTTCTCCTGCCCCCTTGTCTGGAGTGGCCAGTCAAGCCAGGAGATGGTGGAACAACTTCCACGATTGGCAGGAAGAGAGGGACGCTGGTGGTGCAGCAATGTGTGAGTAGATGGGCCAGTTCCAAGAGCCAGACCCACATTAGGTGCACCTGGGATGGGGATATTTGTATTCATTTACGAATACGAATATCCCCATCTCTAGCAATGGTGTTTCCATTAAAAAGGACAAAGGCAGTATATTATAATTATAGTACATGAATAAATCAATCCCAGAAATGCAGTAGTTCTATGATTTCTGCAGTGCACATGAAGCTGAGATAGATGACGTCTAAGATCCTTTCCAAATATAATTCTATGTGATGCCTGATGCAGCATATTGTTTTATCCTGTATGGTGTTGGTACTGCAGAGCCTTGTTTCTTTCAGACATTTGCACCAGACTTTAACATCAAAGGTACTAAAAGGCACACAGGTACTAAAAACATTGTCTTCATAGTCTATGATTCTCATTACCCTACATAGGGCGGGAATCATTTTCATGAAGAGCACTTACCAAGATCACCTTGACAAATGTCAGTCCTTGTGGCACCTCCAACAATAAACTTTGGATCACTAACAATTTCCTTGAAGAATATAATAAAGAAATTTATTGTCATTGTAAGTCTATACATAGTATACACATACAATGAAATTCACACAGACACCCAGAGACAAGACCCACATGCACACACATAAAAAATAAATAAATCCCCAAACACTCCCTCCCCACTAACCCCACCACTAAAAATACAAACATCTACACCGCAGGCTAAGTAACACTGTCCAACTGTTCACTACTGGTGGTCTTTAAGTTCATTATTAAGTGCAATTATAGCTCTGGGATAAAAACTATTCAGAAAACGTGTGGTCCAAGTCTTAATTGTTCTGTATCTTCTGCCAGACAGCAACAGAAGATGTTGTAAGCAGGATGGGAAAAGTCTCTATGGATGTTGTGTGACTTCCTCAGACAGCGGGATGTGAAGATGTCATCCAGGGTTGATAGCTGGAGTCCGATGATATTCTGGGCAGCTTTTTTGTCTGCTACAGAGCTGCTCCCAAACCATACAAGAATGCCATAGGTTAGGACACTCTCAATGGTGCTATGATAGTGCTATGATAGGACAGAAGTAAATGCTGAGATAAATTTAACTTCCCGAGCATTCTCAGGAAATACAGCCTCTTCTGTGCCCTCTTCACTAGCAGGTTGGCATTTATAGTCCATGAGATGTAAGTGCCCAGAAATTTAAGACTAACAACCCTCTCCACTTCCTCGCCATTTATGTACAGTAGTAAATGCATATTTCTCTTCCTCCTAAAATCAATTATGAGTTTTTGGTTATTTTCATGTTAAGTGTAAGAGTATTTTGTTTACACAAGATTATCAACCCTTGTACTTCCTTTCTGTAAGCAGACTCATTGTTCTTATTTATGAGCCCCACCACTCTCTTATTGTCTGCAAATTTAATAATTGTGTTGGTGGGGTGCAATCATGTGTGTACAGGGAATAGAGGAAAGGACTTAGCACACAGCCCTTAGGAGCTCTAGGGACTTAGCACACAGCCCTTGGGAGCTCTTGTACTTAGCACCAAGATAGAAGAATGGTGAGATCCCATCCTTACTGACTGTGGCCTGTCTGTCAGAAAGTCCTTTAGGTAAAGGTAAAGGTAAGGGTTCCCCTTGACAATTTTTGTCCAGTTGTGTTCAACTCTAGGGGGCGGTGCTCATCCCCGTTTCCAAGCCATAGAGACAGTGTTTTGTCCAAAGACAATCTTCCATGGTCACATGGCCAGTGCGACTTAGACACGGAACGCTGTTACCTTCCCACCGAAGTGGTCCCTATTTATCTACTTGCATTTGCATGCTTTCGAACCACTAGGTTGGCGGGAGCTGGGACAAAGTGACGGGAGCTCACTCTGTCGCGTGGATTCGATCTTACGACTGCTGGTCTTCTGACCATGCAGCACAGGCTTCTGCAGTTTAGCCCACAGCGCCACCACGTCCCTCAGAAAGTCCTTTACCACACGCAAGTCTTTTTAGGTAATCCCAGGTTGATCATTTTAAAAAACAACCTGTTGGGTAGAATGGTATTAAAAGCAGAGCTATAATCCACAAACAACAACCTCGCATAAGTTCCCTGTTGTTCTAAATGACTCAATACAGTATGGAGAACAATGGACACAGCATCATCACTAGACCTATTTCTCCTGTATGCAAATTGCCATTGGTTCAAAGAAGGTTGAAGACTAGCCTTAATGTAATCCAACACCAATCTCTCAAAACATTTCATAATAACAGATGTTAAAGCTACTGATCTATAATCATTGAGAGATACCACAGCTGACTGCTTGGGAACTGGCACTATAATAGGCAGAAGTGGGGACAGAACACTGCAACAAGGATAGATTAAAATATCCATAAAAACTCCAGCTAATACTGCAGCACAGCCCCTAACAACTCGTCCCATGATTCCATCTGGTCCAGCTGCCTTTTGAACATTAATATTCTGGAAAGCGCGTCTCACATCTGAAATCTGCAGTAGTAGTCGTTGTCTACCGATGGTAGATTCTAGTGATGTACTATAGATAGTAGGTGCTTGAGCAATAGTTGTTCCTGTTTCCACCTCAAAATGGCTGAAAAATTGATTTAACTGCTCAGCCAAAAAAATCACTGCTGCTAACCGGACTGTTTTTGTTATTCTGCCCCATGATTTGTCTCAGGCCATTCCATACCTGATGAGTCTCAGAGCTCTCAAGATGTTGCTCAGTCCTCCAGCTGTACATAGCTTTATAGGAGAGAAAAGTAAGTGCTCTGAATAGAATATATCCCACTGTAACACTGTTATAATTCTGTATCTACAGGTCTGGCTGTAGAAAATTAACAGTTATTAAGCACTGCTAAGCTCTGGCCTGTATAAAAGCTCTGGTATGTATATATAAAAGCAGTATATGTATGTATGTATAAAAGAAATTGAAAAATGCACATATTTTTCTGGCAGAGATTAAGAAACAAGCCTTCAAACAAAATATGAGCGAACAACAGAGTGAGAATGCTAGAGGGTTGGCAGGGACGCAATGAAGGGTGAAGAAAGGATCCTGGTGTCCCTACCAACTATAGCTGCTTGTGACTGGGAAAGGAAGCTGAGGCGATCCCCAGCCTGCCTCCTGGTCCATGAACTTCCCCCTGCTACCAACACTCTAGGAACCTGCTTGTGAAGCGGAGCCTTCCTCACTGTGGATGAGATGGGATGTCAATATTGTCTACGCAGCAGGTGAGAAATGCCTAGTGGCCGCCAAAGCAGTTAACTGAAGCTGCAGGCTTTGGATGCTGTTATGAGGAGCTTCGTGGTGGAACACAGGACAGCGACTGGCATTTTGTCCCCACCAGAGTGTTTTGCAGCTTCAGAGGAACTCTCTGAGAGCAGGTGGACTTGGCGGGCCGTAGTCCTGCTGCTCAGTGCCTTTGGAGAGGAGAACATGACTTTGCTTCACATGTTAACAAAAGGCAAGGCAAGCTGGCCAAGTCATTATCACCAGCACCACCTACTTGTTCAACACACCAGGTCACATGGAGCTTGTAATGGAGATGAGGAATGTACAAGGTCTTGTTTACCACGAGGATATGATAGTGCCGGAAGCTTGCAATACGGAAGGGCTTCTTTTACAGCTGCTGCTCTCTGTTCCTACAGTACAACAGCCTTCCCCAGCCCAGTCCCTTTTACATATGGTTTTCTTGAACTGTGACTCCCACAAACTCTCAACTGCACAGACAATAGTTAGGGATATTGTAGTCCAAAATATCTTAAACACTCCCCCTGAAGGATCGTGTTCACAGCTTGGGGGTATGCACCTGGCATTGACTATGGAGGCTCAAATATCACCTGTGAAGGCCAGGAGTGCCTTTTATCAGCTTCATTTGATTAGCCAGTTGCACCCCTACCTGGACAGGAAATGCCTACTAACAGTGGTTCACACTTTAGTAATCACAAAAATAGACTACAGTAGATCCTCCATATCTGCAGGACTGGTATCCATGTTTTCACTTATCTGTGGCCTGAAAATATTAGAACTATTAAAAGAAAAAAAAAGCAGAAATACATATGTCCACTGTGTTAGAGGGACATGGTGGCGCTGCGAGTTAAACCACAGAAGCCTCTGTGCTGCAAGGTCAGAAGACCAGCAGTCGTAAGATCGAATCCATGCAATGGAGTGAGCGCCCGTCGTTTGTCCCAGCTCCTGTCATCCTAGCAATTTGAAAGCATGTAAATGCAAGTAGATAAATAGGTACCTCCACGGTGAGAAGGTAACGGCATTCTGTGTCTAGTCACGCTGGCCACGTGACCACAGAAACTGTCTTTGGACAAACACTGGCTCTATGACTTGGAAATGGGGATGAATACCGCCCCCTAGAGTCTGACAGGAACGGACAATTTGTCAAGGGGAACCTTTACCTTACTATGTAATTACCAGCACTGGCCATTAGAGGGGGAAGAAGCTATGCTATGTATAGGGTTGGCTATTATCCGCAGTTTTTGGCATCCACGAGGGAGGGGTTGGAACTGATTCCCTGTGGATATAGGGCTCCTATTGTACTTTAATGCTCTCAGCGTCAGGCTGACCCTTAGCAGGTCCAAAATGCAATGGTTGTATAGGGTTGGCTATTATCCACAGTTTTTGGCATCCATGAGGGAAGGATTGGAACTGATTCCCTGTGGATACAGGGCTGCTATTGTACTTTAATGCTCTCAACGTCAGGCTGACCCTTAGGAGGTCCAAAATGCAATGGTCACACTGATTTCTGGGGCTAATAAATTCAACCATATACCCCCAGTCTTGGCACACCTGCCTTAAGGGTTGGCTATTATCCACAGTTTTTGGCATCCATGAGGGAAGGATTGGAACTGATTCCCTGTGGATACAGGGCTGCTATTGTACTTTAATGCTCTCAACGTCAGGCTGACCCTTAGGAGGTCCAAAATGCAATGGTCACACTGATTTCTGGGGCTAATAAATTCAACCATATACCCCCAGTCTTGGCACACCTGCCTTAGCTCCCTGTCAGACTGATTTCTGGGACTAATAAATTCAACCATATACCCCTAGTCTTGGCACACTTGCCTTGGCTCCCTGTCAGTTTCCTTTCTCAATTCAAGGTGCTGGTTATGACCTTTAAAGCCCTTAACCGTTTAGGACTTCTGTACTTATTGGACCATCTCAGAAAACAACTATCTATTTTGCCTGCTCCTCTCAATCCAGGTTGCTAAAAATAGCTACACCAAGGGAAGCTAAAAAGGTGACAACAAGAAAATAGGCCTTCTCAGTGGTGGCTCCCAATCTATGGAATAAGCTCTCATAAGCTGTCCTAAATCCAATTTGTAATACGGAATAAGTTCCCATAAGCTGTCCTTAACAACCTACAATAAATCCACATTTGAAATGTTTTTTTCTTTCTTTTTTTTATGGGTGGTAGTAGCTTCTTTTAAAGTCTGTGATTCCATGGCATACAGTAGAAATGAGAATTTACAGGGCAGAAATATTCCTTCTGTGGAAAGTAGTATCTGTGGTGCATTCCGAAAATGTCATCCTTATTCTAAGGAAGGAAGAGCAGAAGAGACCATTTCTATCCTGACCCAATTCATCAAGTGCCAGCCAGAGTATAATTATGTCCCTCCTCTTATTTTCCCATGAGATAAAAAGGAAAGTGGCAAATGCCTTTTGTTGATTTTTATTCCTATGCTCATTTCCTAGCAGGCATCAGGAGGTAGCACAAGTGTTGGACAGATGCTTTCAAAGAAATCTGGATTTGGATACAGTTACTCCAAATCCATATCCTATGCCATGAAAAATCAGTATGGGATATTTTCCACAAGCCAAGGAAGAATATATTGCTAGAAAAGAATCAAGAGTGAGTGGAGAGTAAAAGCCAAGGAAACAGGGCTGGAATACTATAGCAAAGCAAGCAACCTTATAAGACATAGTCAGGAGCAGCCCATGGAACAAGAAACAGGATGTGTTAGAATTTTGGGAAGGGGGTGCTCCATCCTTCCATGAATACATCTATGCAGATGTATCATTCTCTCTATTTTCTTTAGTGTAAGAAACTTGGCATTTAAACAAATAAAAGTCCAGGTCATGTTCTGTACTAAATCTTACAGGACAAGATGCACGGGGAAAAAGAAGAAGGTGGTCCTTTCTACTCACCCCAGGCCTTTTCCACACAAAGGGGACCGGTGGCTTCTCACTGAAGAAAAGGGAAGAGTCATTGGTGGGGAAGTCACAGTCCTCAAAGAGCTTCCCCTTCTGCTGGCATTCAAGTTTCAGCTCTTGGTAGGTTTGGCCGGTAGAGTGGGTGGCACGCGCACTCTGGGGCACAGGGGGAGCCCGTGGACTGGAGTCCCGGTAGGTGTATGGCATTGCTGTGCTCCTCGCAGGTAACAGAGAAAGTTGAGAATGGAGGGGCGAGAGGATCAACTCTCAAGATGCCAACCCACAAAACAAGAGGGAGGAAAGGGATCGCATCAGGGTGACCTTTGCAGCAAGTGAGAAGAGATAGACCTTCAGGGTAGTTTAAAACACACACACACCTCTCTGTGCAAGCAGCCCTTCCTACTTGCACTTGCTTGAATGGCAGGTTGACAGTCTCACCCTGGAGAAACAATAGCCGAAAGGAACACCCTGAGAGCAAACAGGAAGGCAAACCCGTTTGGCTGCTGGATGCCTACCCTCTGGCACATTAACTCAAAAACGGCAAGGATGGCAGAGAGATAACTTTACTGTTGACCAAGCAGTTGGAATCTGCTGGTCCTGAGCCAAAGAAATGGGCACTCCCATGACCACCCCATTTAATTCAAGTGATAAGGTGTGTGTCTGGAGGTACTGCTTCTGCTAGGTGGTTGACTGTGCAACAATGTGAACCGGTATGCAGAGCTCAAGTCTGAAATCTATATACCCTCCCTCCCTCCCTCCCTCTCATATGTGTGTGTGTGTGTGTGTGTGTGTGTGTGTGCATATATAAACAGTGTGATGTGTGACATGACATTGCTGTCATTTTCTATCTGGATGCACAAATGACTCACAAATGTCTACAACTGGGAGATGATAAATATTGTGACCTCCAGATGTTGTTCTAAAATTCTAATCAGAATTCAGCATTTGGCATGTTGGTTAGGGATTGTCTCAGTCACAGTCCACCAATGTCTGGAAGGTCACACAATCCCTCATCCCTGGCCAGTCTCTAGATCACTGGTAGGCAACGTAAGGCCCATAGACTGCATTCACCCTCAGGACTTCCAACAGCCACCAGCACCCCATCCCACTCAAATTTTAATACATTTTTGCCCCCCAAATTTCATTTGCACCATCTATAGTAGGAGGTGGTGATCTTCAAAGGCTCAAGAATACATGTGACCTCTGGGGCCACACTTACTCTGATGCTCCTCCCCCCCCCCCTCAGTTTCCTTAAGAAAAAGGATTCTTTAGTGCTCAAACTTTTCCTTCGGTAACATGTTCTGTATGGAGGACGTGGAACAGCACCTAGTGTGGCTGAGGAGGCCAATTCGAGAGTGACAATCCCTTCCACACTGAAGACAAATACAGTCTGTCCCCTGTCCAGCTCCCTGATTTTGCTGCTTTCAGGACTGCCTCTTTGCAAAAATACATACATAGGAAAAATTTGTCCTATGCCACTATAGGGCACATGGGCATGTTTTGAATCCTTTTGTCCAAAACTTTTAAAAAAAAAGGTCGTTGGAGTATGGTGGGGATATTAGGAGTACACGTTTGTCCCTGGGGGGTGGTCACATCACAAGCAATCTACGGGCTATATGCTACCGATCTCTCCTTTAATGAATGTGATTGGCCATTTCAGGGCTTCTCTCCTCTGGTGTTTTAAGACATGTGGAGAGGAAAAATTCCAAACAAATTTTGAAAGATAGATCCTACGAGCTTAGATAAAATTACGTATGCGGAGAGATAAAATGTTGGAAATAGATGTATACTTAGAATATACCTTTGGCCATTTCAAGCCATTTTAAAAATGGAGTGTCTGGGGGCATGTCAAAGGGCAGGCACAGCCCTCCAAAGTTTTGAGGTGGATGTGTCCCCCATGGCTCTGGAAGTTGCCCACAACAATGTAGATCAACGCTACACATCTTTCCAGTAGGTGTGTGTGTGTGTGTGTGTGTGTGTGTGTGTGTGTGTGTGTGTGTGTGTGTGTCCACCATCGTCTTGACTCCTCAAAGCATATTTGATGGTGAGTGGTTGGCTGCTGGAGGAGGCGCAGATGGGCAGCCTGAGTTCCTGCCTGGATTGAAGCACTATCAGAGAAGAAGAACCTCAGCAGCGCACAACAAAATGTTAGTGAGCAAGCCAGCCTGGGGGGGTGGGGAGAAGGTATGCTCCGCACCTCTGGTGCTGTGTGGTTTGCTTCATCCAAAGGGGGCTGAATTAATTTGGGTTTGTCTTTAGTGACCACCAAAGGTTCTTGTCATTAACAGCCCTGCTTGCAAACTCAAAGCCATGGTCTCCTTCATGGAGTCAATGCAACTCATATTTAGTTTTCCTCTTTTCCTCCAACTTTTCCTAGCATTATTGTCTGTTCCAGAGACTCTTGTCTTCTCATGATACACCCAAAGCACAATTGCCTCACTTTAGTCATTTTTGGTTCCAGGGAGAATTCAGATTGGATTTACAAAACCACAATTTCCTCTGACAACAATCTGCATGGAGGACAGTGTTTAAATATTGTGTTTTTTTTAAAAAAAAACAAAACACAGAGAGAGAACAGTGAAGCATCTTGGAAGGACAATCCTCTTTTAAAACATGGCGTGCATTCTCTTCATGGCTTGTTTTTCAAAGAATATTGTGGCTTGTTTCCTGCCATTGGTGGTCAGGCAGTAATTGGGGTGGCAAGGGTGCAAGGAAGGCAGGGACCTACCTGTAGTGCCTGCTGAAGATGCAAACAACAATCGATGTGATGCTGTTGTCTCCTGTGCCACACTGTTCCTGCACCAGCACCTCTGGAAATATGCCAGTTCATATCAGATTCTCTGCATATGCAGGTCTTCACAAAAACCCCTCTGTGTCCATGTAGACTTGTAGTGGTTCCCAACCTTGGGACCCCAGGTGCTCTTGGACTAAAATTCCCGGAAGCCTTCACTACTAGCCACGATGACTGGGATTTCTGGGCATTGTGGTCCAAGAACTCCCAGAAACTCAAGGTTGGGAACTACAGATGTAGAAAAACAGAATGTGATCATGCAGACACAGAATCAATGTATTCCAAACATTTTTGCCTTACTTTCCTGCTTTGTCATTCTCAGCAACTGATAGAAGTAATAGCAACAACAGTATAAAAACTATAAAAACCAAAGCTTTTGGTTTTGATAGAGTTGAACACAACAGCAACATGGATTATAAGAAGCAAAAAAATTGCACCAAAAACAAGTCCTGCCCTTTTAACAGATATATTGTAGACACATGATTAGAATTAGGGAAAGGACCGAAGGACTCAGCAAATATCCAAAGAACAAAAACAAAAAGGAAATCTCTTAGAAAAGATAGCAAGATTGAACTTTCATTCTCCTCAGACATACTGAGCTGATCAGAAAATAAAGCAAACCTATATGCTAATTAGAGACATGGTGGCGCTGCAGGTTAAACTGCAGAAGCCTCTGTGCTGTAAGGTCTGTAGATCTTCAGCTGTAAGATCGAATCCACGCGTCGGAGTGAGCGCCCGTCGCTTGTCCCAGCTCCCACCAACCTAGCAAATGCGCGTAGATAAATAGGGACCACCACGGTGGGAAAGTAACAGCATTCCGTGTCTAAGTCGCACTGGCCATGTGACCACGGAAGATTGTCTTCCGACAAAACGCTGGCTCTATGGCTTGGAAACGGGGATGAGCACCGCCCCCTAGAGTCGAACACGACTGGACAAAAATTGTCAAGGGGAACCTTCACCTTTACCTATATGCTAATTAAGGGAGGGGAGGAAAGTTTCTGATGTGACAAATTATATATAATTAGTATTTAAGGATTCTTCCAGTGACAGGTTGCCTATAACATTTAGTTCAGGCCTGAAATGTGCCCAGGAATCTCCTCATCTATGAAGCTTATTTGATAGCCTTAGCCAAGTTGCCATCTCTCAACAGACATCCGCAGCATAGGGCCATGCTGCGGATGGCCATAAAACTAATGGCCATAGTTTTGCTACCATGTTGTTGTTTAGTCGTGTTTGACTCTTTGTGACATATATGTAGGAAACATATAAAATTGTAAGAGAGTCAACTTGACGCACCCAGCTATTGTCTTTCTCCTCAGAATTGGGTGTGACACATTACTTTATGCTGACCAAGATTTAGGAGAGACTGAGTCACCATCAGCCCCTAAAATGGGTTTGGCCACTTCAACTCTCTACTGTTAAATCTCTCAGGTGGAGACATCTCAGGCTTTACAATGGTTGCACTAATAACCTTGGCAATGTGGCTAAGCCAGTTATTTTAGAGCAATTTCAGAAAGAAACTTTACAGCTGACCTGTGGGAGAGATAAACGCTAGAAAACCTTAGGCAGAAAAGGAAGTTTAAAACATGTGCTAAATAACTTTGATGACCACCCATCATCTTACTTAAGGGCAGGCTGCACTCAGTCTTGGGGGGGAGGAGGTCCTGGCACGATGTTCCAGACCTCCTGTTAGGTTCCTCCATGAAAGAGGCCACACAGTGATCCTGGTCATACAGTATTTTGGCTGGGCAGGACAGGAGATAGAGACTGAAATCCTGTTGCACAACTTATGCTGTGTAAGGCTGATTATGTCATTAGCCACAGTGATTCTCTACACACACCCCAGAAGGTCCCAAGGCAACCTTGGGATCGCGTTTGTCATGGGAAAGCTTACTGCTTCAACAGGTGGGGATTGTAGTGGAGTCTTTGCTTTCCACATCAGGCAAGTGGGAAGGCAGGAATTACTTGTGTGAGGGTAGCCCAGGTCTGAGATAGGACTGAGTCTCATTTGCCCTAATGGTGGCAGGGGATGGTGGAGGATCCATGAAAAAAACGTACATCGGTGAAATTTAACAACAGCAATAGCTATGAAGGCAGGGGGCAAGGACTACTCTCAGGTTTATCAGCCTGTTTCTGTGGTTTGCCTAAAGCTTGCTGGATACAGTAGATGCTCTCTCAGAGCCCCTCTCCCACCTGCTAGCAATCTCATATTTGTGATAATTCTGTGTACACAGGTACCTGGAAGGTTTTGTATCTTGGGCAGGAGCTCTTCATGGTTGTACAAGTATTAGAGTTTACACATATCTCGGTCTAGGTCTGGCAACATTAGACCCAAAGTTAAAGGTCCTTGATTTTATTTCTTTTAAGTAATAACTCTGGTTCATGTTAATTGAAGGTTAAAACCAGACATGTGGATGGTGGGAGGGGAGAGGAACTGTCAATGGGCTAAAAGCAGCATGGCCTGACACAGATGGCCACTGATGACTGAAAAAGTCCCATTGCTGGCATTCAGGAAAAAGCTTACCCAGTAAGCTTACCGAGTACTT